CAGTTCCAGAGTGTTCGCAGGGCAGCGACTCTGCTTAATCCCACGTGTCACAGCACATCAGCCCTGCTGACGCACCAAGTTACTCATGCACACTTATATTTACAAAAAAAATCCCATAAACTTTAATTTTAAAGTTATGCTAAGCCATAACACAGAAAATCACTTGTTCCTTTCTATAAAACATCTAATTACTCGTTTTAGCATTTGAATGACATTTCTTTGCCAACTTTGGTTGCAGGCCTATCTTACAAGGTACTCAGTACTGGAAATGCTTCTGCTCCTCCTTTAAGACATTTTGCCTCATCAGATACAGTTCCTCCAGCCCATTCCTCCTTCATTTTCACTAGTTCTGATAACTTTTGGTACAAAACCATTATCACTTGGAAACCACCAAACCAAATATTATGTAGAGGCACTGATCTGCGTTAGGGGATTTAAATTCCCTTTCCTTTCCCAAACGCACTCATTATCTTGTGAAAACCCTGGGAGGGAGCGTTATTTTTCCCTTGTACTTCTTTACCCTGTGGAAAGCTCAGTCAACAGCAGGGTATCAACCTCTCTGCCTCCCTTTCCACCGCGTCCCCTGGCAGCGACCCCCCTTTGCAGTGCTCTTGCTTGGGGTGCTTGGAACAGCCGCCGCGCTCTGTGCATCCCTTGCACAGGGAAGGGAAGGCTTCTCCCAACACCCATGCTCAAAGGCCAGACCAGACAGCCATTGTACCTCCCCTACCGAGGCACTGCCACGGGGATCACAAGAGAAAGTAAACCAAAGAACACTCTTAAAGACCGGGGAAACTGAGACACCGAAGCCTCCAGCAGGTGCCGGGGGGAGGAGGCAGCATGTTTTCGCCTGCATTGAAAGAATTTTCTGCATTCTTCCTTGACTAGTCTTGATTTTAGCCTTCCTTCATCCCATGTAATAACAGCCGACCAAACTTGTCTGAGCGAAAGGGCAGAGTCACCCTAAGTGCCCTCTCAGATTTACTCTGTCTCTAAGGGCTGCAGAATAACAGTTGGGATGTTTGCGTGCTGCATACTATGGCCATATACCCTGCACAGCTGTGGAGGAATTTTTATTTCTAGATAATTCCTGGCTATTGCATTTCTGTTCTTTGCTGTTTCTACGTAATTTTTCAGTTGAAAAGAATACTTCCTTTACGTTGCCGTGTAGAAAATAAAAATGTTCTAACACCAAGCAGAACTAATCTTGAGATCAGTTTGTCGCAATGGGTTGTACTTGAGACTAACCCTGAAGATCACTCGGATTCTGGTGCCGGCACTAAACACGGCAAGGAGACAGTGCCTTTACCGGAGCTGTTTGTATTTGGTCAGGTAGCAGTCTAATGTTTTCGAGGATTGTATAAGCAAATGTTTACCTAATATTTCATTTGACTAAACCAGAAAGCTGAGCGGCCTGGAGATAAAATTTTAGTCAGACTGCTCAAAATTATTTGATTTTCCAAAGGAAACAAAAAAAAATTACTGTAAAATAAACAGGAGTGGAAAAAAAAGTAATTTTGTTAACTGTTCAAGGTTTTAGTCTGTTCATTCAAAGTATGACTGCAGATAGGACACCGTCCAAAGTTCCCCAGCACGCTCAAGGAAGACCTAATCTGCTGAAATCTTCAATGACTGTTTCCTAGACACGGTTCAGGATCAGCACTCCTTCTTCCTCCTTCCTGAGCTGGTAGCTGTTTCTGATACCAAGAATCATACCTGCCTCCCTGGAAATCCTGTCTCCCTCAGCTTCCTGACTCTCCTCCCCTAGTGCTTTTTCTACCTCTGCAATTGCTATATCAGCACACATTGCGGAGTATCCTTCCTCTTTCAGGACAAGGGGCAATGGGCACAAACTGAAGCATAGGAAGTTCCATCTGAACATGAGGAAGAACTTCTTCACTCTGAGGGTGACGGAGCACTGGAACAGGCTGCCCAGGGAGGCTGTGGATTCTTTTTCTCTGGAGATATTCAAGACCCGCCTGGACAAAGTCCTGTGCAGCCTGCTGTAGGTGCCCCTGCTTCGGCAGGGGGGTTGGACTAGATGATCCCCAGAGGTCCCTTCCAACTCCGAACATTCTGTGATTTCTCTCTTCAGGCTTCTGTGAGCACCCCTCGTGCTCTGCTCTTTCTCTTCTCCCTCTTATCTGTATAGAATCTGGTCTGCAAAAATTATTCAACTAATAATTCATCGTGACTGTTTCTTGGATCTGCTTATCCTCTCCAGCCACTGCTCCCCTGTCCAAATGAATACTTCAGCCAGTCTCTCTAACACTTCTTTACTGGTGCAGACCCTTCAGTTCAAGATCAATACAGCAAGAACTAAAGTCTTAATTTCTTCCTGAGTGCTCACTCCACACTATTTGCTCAATAATGGTGGACCACACCATCATCTTTCCTGTCCTTCAGCTTCATGATTTAGATATCATTTTCATCTGTAGGCACACTCTTTTGAGCTATATTTAGATCTTGTAGACTTTTCTCCTGTATAGTATCTAAAAGCTTTCCCCATGCATCCACAAAGTCTGGACTCATCCCGATTTTCAGCATCTCAGTTGCTGCAATGCATCACTACCTGGTTTTCTCTCTGGCCTGTAACATAGCCTGGTCCTATGCATGTCCATTCAAAATGGGCTGCAAAAATCCCTTTCTCTGCCCAGCATCTTAACTTTGAAGCTTTCTCTTGGATTCTTTCTGCCTCTCCCTCCTGTCCCCCTTTCTTCGTTTACTAACACGATCAAAGTAAGCTGCTTCTGTTGTTGTAGCAGATCAGTCATAGCCTGTCTCCCCCCCTGCTGAAAATGTTGACTTTCAGCTTTAGCAGTTAATGACTTCTTTTTCATATGCCTGCTCAACTCGAAGAAGCACCTTTGTGCCGTTGCCCCCTGTGCTTGTGAGGGGCTCCTAGAAAACATCCCCAGAGTTACTCTTGTCTGGCTTTGCCTCACTCTGAAGTTCTCTGCTTTGATGTGGTGCCCACAGAACGGTGTCAAAGTGCAGTGCCAAGATCACTGCCTCGCACGCTGGCTCTCCTGGCTCGTTTGTACTCCCTTTTCTACTTGTATTCACCAGTTGTTTCTTGCCAGCCTCTTTGGGGTGATCATGACTACGCCCTAAGATCACCTACGCCCTAAGATAAAACAAAATTATTACTAGTGATGCTTATTGCAAATCCCACAAAGGTTGTGGTTCTCCTCCCCTCTGGTCCTCCCAAGCTTTGCTTTCCAAAACAAAGGTGAGATAAATATGCTCATCTGCTCAGAAGTCACAGTAATCTAGCACTCATTACTGATCAGGGGATAAAGTCAGAGGAGGCAGAGATTATTCGTTCATATCCCCCATGTGAGTAAAACAACAAAATTCATTATAAATTACTGAACTAAAGACCTAAAGTTGGAAAACACCCACGAAAAGCCTTCTCTGTATATTACTCTTACCAGTACATTTGAACACGGGATTACACACAGTAGGTGGACAGGCAAAGAACAGAAGGCAGTTGACTTGGCCAAGGTTCCCCTGTGTCCCCTTAACTACTGTTGCAGTAATTTGTTTTTCTACTTCATAGTTCATCTCCTCCTGCTTGTTTGATGTCATAAAAATCCAGCAACTGTGGCAGTTTGCACAATGCGTGTTATAGCCTTGTGTTGGTGTACCACAAATTCAGCATTCTGGATTCATTCATGACTCAGATTGGAGGAGAAAATAGCTTGGGATGGCACAAGCCCTTGATTAAAGCTTTAGGGCCAAATCAACAACAGCTGAGGATCCAGCCCATATGGCCCGAGATCTTTAGCTGTGTAAAGGCTGCAGGAATGGGCCCAAATAGCTTTGGTAATTAGCAAATATCGTACAAAATAGATGAAAAGTCTTTGGCAGGGAATGCATATTGAGTAACATCTGAAATTTATTCATAGCATATTAGTATACTTCTTTCAAGATAAAACTCAATGGCATATAAATAATTTGGGAGGGGAAACTGTAGTCTCTCACACGACTGTCAACAGGCAAACAACTTGGTGGGTCAATCGGTATTTTACAGTCACCTTTTGTCAATGCAGCAAAGGGTAGAGGTGACCGTCTAACACCAAGGACCTGATCCTACAAGCTGTTCTGCCTCTGCAGAAGCGTCCTCACACCCGGCAGGGACGCTTTAGCCAAGCTGCCTCCCTCTGCGCAGAGAGCTACCGTTCCTGGGTTGGTCTTGCAGGTCACCCTGTGCTCCTCGGTGCCTCGGTCACCCAAGAGCACCCAGAATGACACCCAGGGACATCCGCGGAAGCAGGACTGATCCTGCTGCTGTCTGAATTCACCAATTATCGTATCGTGTACAGCAGTAAATAATAACATGGCAATTAATCACCCTGGGGTAGCCGTAAGAGTTACTTTCACAGATTATGGTAAGCAGCATGCAGCGTGGAATAAATAATTTTTCACGCAAACTCTCAGGACTGACATGTTACAAAATCTCTCCTGATAAAAATCTAATGAAAATGTAAAACATCTCAGTGCAGTCTCCTGGGTAGAGTCAAGATCATATTAAACCCTCAAGAGACCACGGTCAGGGATTTCTATGAAAATCAACAGACAGTTTTCCCAGGATGAGCTTGTTAATCTGATAGAAAGACATGATATGGATTTGACGGCTTTGTCTCTTTCGCCGTTTTCTTCATGGAGCCTATTTTTAATTTAATCATCTTCCATCAATTTATTTAAAGGCTTTATTCATCAAAACAAAATCTTTTTTTTTTTTCTAAAAGCAGATGTTGTTGAAGTACTGAGAGTACAATCCAGCACGCAGTGTGTCACAAGCAGCACAAATCTGTTGTCATTGCATTCTCAGGAATACTAACAAATAAAGTTGCTCTCCCACTCTGTTTTAAAGTTCCCTGTGACCGGTTTTCAAAGATTTTGAAACCAGCTCTCTTACAAAAAGATCATGATCTAGCAATCTCAGGACATGGGTCAATGACAGCAACCATTTTTAAACGTTCGTTAGGATTTACCTGCTGGTGGCTTTATGAAAGGTGGTGGAATTAATGGGACAATAATAGGTACATTCCCGTGATCCTTTGACCCTGCTGGTGAGTCTGAAAGTCCATTTCCTGTGGCAAGCCCTGGGTAGCTTGGGTTTATATTGTACGGTGAAATAACACTGTCCTCAGGTAATTTTGGTTTTGGCAAAGAATTTTCTGTAAAACACAAAGAACACATTGTACAGTATGACAAATACATTTCTTAAATGCCCCTACACACCATCACCCATTAATGAATTTCATTTCATTAAATTACTTACCCTAATAGAAGAAGGGTGCACAAAACCCCCCAGATATTGTCCCTTTTAAAAAATGGATACTTTCCAATATTCTTTAGAAATGCTCCGTTTTTTAAAATCAAACTCACACTAAACACAATTGTATGTTTTTACTCTAAAAGATGGGATTACTTTGTCGTACATATCCTTAGTATGCCTAATTTAATCAACAATACCCTCTCTCTGTCCTTCACTTCTACTGTTTGCAAGGTGATCACACTCAGTGTACTGTAACTTCACCAACGCAAGAAGCATAAACTGAAAAATAAAAGAATTCCTAATTCTCTATCAATAATATGAGTAGTAGCAGTAATGGAAAGGACTTAAAGGAAGGAACAAAAAATTGAAATTACAACAAAGTGTGCATGAAATGATGACAGTTATTATTCTAATTCTTTAGTCCCAAATCACCTCCGGATTCTTATTTGTAGGAATTTCTCTAACACACCTCAGTTAGCTATGGGACAGGACTTAATTCTTATTATTTTCTCTCTTCCCATCTCTCTGAAACAGAAATACACTAACCTGGAACAGGTAGTCAACATCTTTCTTTGGTACATAAAACATATGATTTGTAACATGTGTCTATGAAAAAAGGTATGTCATACATTCCATCAGGCACAGACTGGAGCCACAGATCATTCAATAAAAGAGCTATTTATTGAAACACAAATAAATGAATCACATTACTACACAGGAACAAGTTTCTTCAAAGGTGGCTTAACAACATCACATTTTCACTGAAAAATAAAACATTGATCACCAGTGTCACGATACAACTAACAAGCTGCAAACATTCAGTTTTATCACGATTGGATTGTTTCACCTTACCTCTAATTTTTCCACCTTTTTGCTAGCCATCTCTCCATCCAAACTGGTCTCTCTGGTATCAGTACTCATTGCAACGCTCACTGAATACAGCGCTGCTGCCAGCCATCAGAACGAAAAGCCAAACACTGCTGGCCACAAATGCAGTGAAAAGTGGCAGTCCAAGAGCATAAAAGCCATGGCAATTTCCTCTCTCTGCCTCACCTTTGAGGAACTCTTGTTGGGTTAGTCAAGATGCAGCGATTGCTCTTCACTCTGATCACAAGTCCCTACCTATTTGCTGGGGCTGGGGAGCCAGAAGGGAGCAACTGAGTGGCTGAACAAACAGACTGGATCCTGCCCTTCACGTTTTGAACCATCTCATACTACAGTACGCGAAGACCCAGCGCTGTCCCAAACAAATTCCACCCCCGGAGAACTCCTACAGCACTTGCGGAAGGCAGTATAGCACAAACATCCCTGAGGAACCTTTTGTGAAAGTCCATGCCTATTCCCACATGCATTGTGAATATTCCAGCACAAAACCTTTCAGCATTTTAAAAAGCCATAGGTCAAAAATCCTTGGTTTTGAAAGCAAAAGAGTTCCTTCAAGCCACGCTGCTAAGAAAGCACGCTCTCTTTTTTCCAGTTGTGAGTAGTTTATTGGTACCACAGGTACATGACTTTCAACTGACTCACAAAAGGTATTATTTGTGAAGATGTATTAGTAAGTGCCTACTAACAGCAATTTTGTTAAGTAATTTTCCTCATACCCTATTGGCTTCCTCATACTTTCGATATTTTTGTTTAAACCAGCCACGAAGCAAGCAGCAGAACATGCTTCCCAGTCCACGCCAATTCAGATGGCTTGAGATATTAATCCTTCTTTGTGTGAACACAGAAACATTAAGTCTCATTACCTTTGAGAACAGAAATGTGCTGGCGGCTTTCCCCATCTGCCGAGTAGTTCCTGAATTCAATATCTTCTCCATCTTTCAATTCAACCTTATCATAACCATACCAGCCAAGCAGCTCATTCATAGTGTTTTCTGCAAAGTTCTGAAAGAGAAAAATTACCTACTTATTTATGTAATCAATAACCATTTGGAAGGAAGGGAGGACTGCATAAATCGAACTGTATCTGTGCTACACGAGGAAGTGTCAGGCTTGGCCCACCTCCTCATAGACTAATGTCCGTTTCACAAGTCAAGTGCATAAAGTGTAATGCATTTAAATCTCCGACTGGCACATGTAATTATGACAGAGGCTCATATGTCTGTAATTTAAAGAAAATGAAAAGGAGAGTTATTTATGACTTTTGCTCTGGCATTCAATGTCAGAAATATTTTAACATACATTCGTCACAGAAACTTGTCTGTGTTGCCATAAAATATCTAAGACCGCAGCTAGAGAATAACAGAAATCTAGGGGTTTTTTTTTCAACCAGCAGTTAATCAATCTTACTGCGCTACAGTCTTTTGAGCTGGAGCAGGTCACTGACACAATTGCAGTTCCTTGAGGTGCCCATGAACCAAATCAAATAAAATCACAGCGAAGACGTTTTTCCTCAGTTATAAGCCCTTGCATAGTCAAGCCACTTAAAAACTCTTCACCAGGAAAGCGTTTCACCATAATGTTTCAGATGAACATTTCTTGCATTTGTTTAAGAAAACCTTTCTCAGTTTTGCCATATTTATTTTCAAACCGATTTCCAAGCAGCCGTGTGGTTACATTTAATGTTTGTATGGAAATGCAAAATATGGAACATGACTGTCATAACTCTCAAATTCTATTAAAAACACATCCTCTAGGTCATGTGGCAAAAATATTTCTGTAGAAAACGCTCATTACTGGGCCAGGAGATTTAGTGGAGCAAGTTAAGAAATCTGCAGCCAGGCAACAAAGCTTTCCAAAACCAAATAGTAACATGGAGCTCTAGGGCTTATGGATTTAGGAAGCTACCAAAGGAAACCAGCTAATGAATTACTGCGATGGCAAAGATCAGTTTAAAGTAGTATGACAACTATAAAATGAAATGAAAAAGCCACACACACAGCCTTTCGATTTGGTCTCCACACTTTTTTATTATCAGTCTTTTAAAACAAATTCCAAACTTCATTTTCCTGTAAGATCTTGACATCTAAAATAATGCTTCTGATAAGCACCGTCTTCTGGGACTCTGGCTACCAGCAAAGGAATAAGGAGAACACGGCACCAATTCAAAACAAATGGTACGTGTCAAATTTGCAGGTTGCTAGATTTTGTCTAGTAACTGCTCTAGATTAATTTTTGAGTGGGAGCAAGTCTAACGATAGAACACAGCAATTCTCCAGTCTTTTAAATAAATAAATAATCAGATGATAATTGCTTCCGAATTCAAAGCTACAGCAGGCACTCTGCCCCAGAACGTCAGCGAGCTGCACTGCTCCTGGCTCATTCATCAGACCAGATTGCATAGGTGTTCCTGTCACTCAGGGAGCACTGTAAAGCAGCTATAAGCAATAAACACAAGCAATTTATACTCTTCCAGGAGTATCATCTGTGTGATTGTGCTACAAACACACATTTCAGGAAAAGAAAAAAAACAAAACCAAAAACCTACAGCAGACCCGTGGAGTATCGATTTCCCGCTGGTTTTTCCCCTTTCATTTTCACTTGACCTCCTGCTGGAAGACTTGATTCCACGGCTGTCCTGTGCAGCCCTAAACTTCCAGAAAACCTAGCATCCCTCCTCATTTACCTCTAGTGTCAGCACTGGAAGTACAATAGCCCGTTACGCCTGAACTATGTCACTACTACAGTTTGCAACAGCGAGTACAATGCAGTATAACGTGGCTAATACCTGCACTCGTTTCTAAAATATATATTTAAACTCTCATTTGAATGATGCAGTGCTGTGAATGTTTTAAATACTAGCAAAAAACGGGAGATTTTTCTAAAGTTTATTTGGTTTTTTAGCTTTTTAGAAAACTTCTCTCACAGCACTGAAAGCCCCAGTGCACTAACCCTGTCTCTAACGCATTGGAATCCAACAACAAAATGACCTGGAGACGGGGACTGAAACCTCACCACTGCAGCCCACCCAGAATGGCCTGATGGGGTCCATGGAGGCCCGGAGGCAAGCTCTGCTGGCTTCCCTCGCTTTGCTAAATTTCAGCTGTGGAGATGCAGCCTTAGAGACTAATCTAGCAAGGTAGAGACCAATTGACAAAGTCTTCCTGACTTAAACCCCATGCAACCAAATTAATTGAGTAGCTCTAAATTTGCCTCCTGTGGATGCTTTGTGTTTTAGTTGCACTGTTGATCAACTCAGGCAATGAGTAATTTCTAATTACTTATCGAGGAATATGTAAGCAAGGCTAAATATATGTTTATTTTTTCCCTGAAAATTCATACACTTGTATGTCTCCTCAGAATTTAGTCAAAGTGATGGTTGGGTTTGTAATGGCACAAAGCTTAAGTACCTTTCAAGCCTCATTTTACCATCCATGATGAGTGACACGCAAAAATGAACAGCCCTAACAACAAAAAATACATTTGATTCTCAAATTACTCATTCTCCTTCATAATTTAGCTTACCTATTACAGTGATGGTGATCACTCAATACTGTTCTCTCAGTGACTAGCAGCCAGGGCTTCATTACACAGCACACTGTACACGGCAAACCAAGCGGATAACTCCGTCCTTAGCCAGCCGACAGTCAAGGCTGAGAAATTTTGTCTTCCTCACTACCTCTCTTGCGCAGATGGGCATCCACAGAACTACGACATCACCTTCCCTCAGACTCCTAAAATACCTGTTTGCAGTGATGTCTAACACCCTGTCAGCCTAGATGATGGTCATACAGGTCATGTGCTCGGTGAAGCCACTGCCCCGAAGGTGGCCACTGTTATTTCATTGTTTCCAGGTATTCTCCCTTCTTTCCATTTCAATGGTACACCCAGTTTACGTGGATTCAAGACAGGGCAACAAGATGGGATATGTGAAGACCAGTGTGGTCACAACAGTCAAAATACAAACAACGAGATGAGAAAATTTTTCTCTGTGTGAATGCAGAGGGGGGGAAAAAAAGCCCAGTTCTTGATGAAGTTAAGGAAAGGAAGCAAGCCAATTAATACATAACCTTTACGTGCTCTGTACATGCAGAGCAGAAGCTCACTGGAAGATGCACAACCTTCAAAGGCTTAGTGAAAAGAAGGGTGATGATTATAACCATGATGCTTGAGAAAAGCAAGAATGCAGGACCTTGTGTTGCAGTAGCAGAGCAGAAGAAGTATTGATGAAGCAGGGTAGAGAGAAACCAGCTAAACTGAGAGATGATGGACCTGCCAAAGCCCAGGGAGGAGGAGATGTGAAGACAAGCATGGATGACCAGATGGAGCATGTGCAAGGAGCTGCAATTCCAAGCTTCTGCAGGAACAACACAGCAGAGGCAGCTAGTCTGTGCCTACTTTCAGAACCATTCCCCAAAAGGATGTGGAGGGTCTGCAGGACAGTGGCTGCCACCCCAACCCCACAGCCCTGCCAAAGGACTGGGATGACATGAAAGACCAGCGCACCAGGTCTTGCCCATCACCAGTAAAATCCCAAATCAGCAATCACACTGCTAGGCTGGGACCCTTGAGCCCAGAGCGAATCCCACTGAGCCCAAAAGGAGTTCTGCAGGGGTCCGTGGATTTAATCGTGAAATTACGGCACCAGAGCTAAGCTCGCCCTGCCGGTGAGGCAATGCTCAGTCCCCTGCGGGAAACCACGAGACGGAGCCCCGGTGCCGCTCACAGTGTGGCCCAGTGCCGAGAAGCGGAGCACAGAAATCCCACCCCGTGTCCTGTGCTCACACGGCCACGCCACGCTTGGCCTCTTGTGCACGCACCAAGCAGCCAGGCTCCCGAGGCTGCGGTGGGAGCACCAATGACCCCATCAGCCGCCCGCGCATCCAGGCACTGGGTTATCACTCGGTTAACATCCCACCAGAGCCAAAGCTCCCTGCGCTCCTCTGGCCGACAGCGCAGGCGTGCAGCTGAGCACCACCGCAGGTGCCTCACTGCCGGGGAATCCGCTATGGCTGCGGCACAACCAACTCATCCCTGCCAAGAAAATTGGCCCCAAAACGCTCCAGTGGCCCCAGTCACGCAGCACCGCCAAAGCACCCCCTTCCTAATAGGCGGTAATTCTTTTTTTGCCCCCTGCTAATTCCCACACCACTTATCACCACTGCTGGGCAACGCGTAATTTGCGTGTTTTAACTATACGTTTTCTCTATCTTTGTACTATACAGAAATATCCTCCTTCCTGGAAGAGCCAGGATAACACTAACTATTATGCTCGTTCGTATTTTGACTTGAATTTGCTTCCCATTCATAGGAAAGATGAAGAAGAGTGCGTTGACTCGCCAGACTGAGGTTTCTCTCCTCTGTGAGACTGACTTGCATGCTAGGCAGTAAAAATACAATCACATTTATTCCTCCTTCAGGATTCATTTCATTGTAACAGTACACCTACAGCTTGATTTTTTACATTCCAATGCACCATTTTCCCAAATCTTTGCTAATTAATACATTCTGAAGCTAAGCCATGCTTCTCTTTCCATCTTAGACCTCTCACCTTCCCTTCTCTATGAACCTTATTCATAGGGGGCAAGGCCTGGCTTCACCGCGCGAGGCCTGGCAAACACGGAGGCAGGAAACGCAAGGGAGAACGAGTCTGTCAGACTCATTTTCTTCTAGGTTTTACTGCTGAATGTTTATTTCAGATCTGGGAGGAAGCACAGTGGCTCCTTTCCATTTCCTTGCCTGCATAACCCACTCGGTGCAGAGCCCCACAAATTCACGTTTCACTTTCACTGCACCGAGGAAATAAAAATGTTTCTATAGCCACAATACGAACTTGGGATTTTATTTTTTTTTAACTGGCCCTCACTTTCCTTGCTTATTTATGTTGTCGCCATATTGAATTTTATGGTTAGACCTTTAGGCTATCAGAAAGCAAAATATCTTGATGCTTGAATGCTCTTTGTCCTCCCACATAGACGTTTGGCTCTGTGACACCCACCTCGTTTGGGGTCGCACGATTTCTACTGTGCACAGGCAGGTGAGGCTCCCCTTATGGACACTGCAACCCCCTTTTGTGGCCATCCCAGAAAGCTCCTTCCATGCAAAGCCCACCTCGGTCTCCTGAAGTAGTACAACTGATAAAGTCTGTCTGCTTTTCCACTTTCCCAAAGACATTTTTTGCTTTTCAGGAGAGAAAGGAGGAGTTTCCTTGGAACCTTTTGAGTGCTCCGAGCGATCTGTCTGGCACCCAGTGCAGCGCTGCTACGCCTGCTTCACCGCTTTCCTCCTTCTGACAGTAGTACTTTTAAATGCCAAACGGGGAACATTAAAACACTAAACTGCAAGATCTTCCGATGAGTTTACTATTAAACTATAACAGATGGGGCTGTCTTAAGCTCTAGGCATCAGGAACGAAGTCCAATTTTAGATACAAATTAGTTATTGAGAATATTTATAGATGGTAAACTCCTTGGGCACACGGAGTAACCCTGTGAAATTACAGCACAAATTAATTGCTCGCCTTTCAATTGACAGAGACACACGGATGCTTCGTCTCATTTGTTCAGGAGAACTTCCAGTGCAATCCACTACTGGATGCAACTTCGTTTCACAAGGCTGAGGAGCACCCGGCTGCTCCTCCCGAGCAGCACCGCTGCCGGGCAGCAGGATGGCACACAGCAGTACACTGAGCAGGGAGGGATGGGGAAGCCATCACCGCGCCTTGACGAGGGCTTGCATCAATTAAACTGGAAGAAATATTTTGATCTTAAAATAGCATCAGGTTCCCTGATTGTGATAGCTTTGGATCTATTAGGCGTTCTGTTATTCACCAGCGAGCGAGAAATGGCATTGCACTGCATGTCGGAATAACTATCTGCTCTTCTTCCAAAGCATGAGATGAACAATGCTACCTCTGGAAATAAAAATGGAAAGTATCATCTGAAGGAGGACAGGAAACAAAAGAAAAAAATAACTAGAAAAAAAGAAAGAGATGCTTGAAGGTCACAGCAAAACAAAACAATTCCTCCTGAATATATTTTTCATTGAAATGTAATCTCAGAAAACTGTGCAGACTCATGTACTTTTCGCACACACATTGTATCGAATTAAAATTTGTTATAACCATCATGTACATTAGGTTAGTGATAACAAAAACGTAACTTAATATCTGGCACAAGGGAAGTGCAAGCAACCTGAATATCCATTCAGTCATGTTAAAACCAAGCTGTGACACTACTGCTGGAAGACGCCAAACCAAGTAGTTAGGTGTTGTGCTCCTTCTTGAGTAAATATCTGAACTGTATCAAACAGCAAATCTTGAAGGAGGTCTCTGTGATGAGGTAATTTCATTGCTCATTCATAGTGCCCTGCCTTTGCCGTACTTAAAATAGACACTTGTACCAATGGCCTTTTTATTAAACAAAGGAAAAAAAAAAAAAAAAAAAAAAAAAATCACATATACACCAGTCCTTTTTCTTTCTGCTAGCAAAGGGAGGCAATTCGATCTAACGTGGGCTGAAACCTGAGTAGGTCACTGTACACCATGATAAAATTCCCTAATCCCTGAGCCAAATTTCCCTGAGGGGGCCCTCCTACTTCTCCTTCACTTTCCAAGCTGACTTTTCCATTCCCTCTCTCGTCTTTTCCTCCCCTTCATCTCTTTCATTTCCCCTACCTTAAAGCCTTGATATCTGATCTGCTGCTGATACTCGGGTTACAGTTTTTACAGCTTAGGCTGTCTATTGCTGTATACATTCCTTTCTTTCTGCTCTGCCGTGATTACTTACCAGAGCTTATTTTACACTGGTCCAGATGAAAGCAGTTCAGATGAAGGGAAACGGTCAGCCTGTTTGAACGTTACAGATATGAACCTACACAAGGGCACATTGTGCTCCCTCTGTCACTTCCCTGCACACATTTTGCACAGTGTAACCAATTTGTTGCATTATTGTATTCCTCGGGTTTACCAAGAGCAACTAGACATCTTAATTTATCAGTGAAGAAAAAGAGTAAACGATCGCCACAGGATTTTAACTTGCTCAACCAGTCAAAAACGTAAACCACTTTTTCTTTTTTTTTTTTTTCCTCCCCCCTCTCTTTCCCCTCCTCGGATGACAGCAGCCAGGCGTCCTCCTAAACATGCAGTCCCCCAGCACAGCGCATACAGCGTAGTTTACATTGAACGGCGGCCTGTGTTTTGTGAAAGGTTCTGCCGTCAGCGACCTCACTCTCGACCAGAAATCACATCGGTTCGAAATGCCATTTCTACCTGCCTTTAATTTTTAAGTCAGACGAAATCTTGAGGTTTTATGCAGACACCCATGGTTAAAAAAAGAAAAACCCTCTACACAGACATTAACGCCAGTGCTTAATACCAAAGCATTAGTTTAAAATTGTGTAATTTTTCTCCTTCACACAATGTTGTTTTTGTTTCTTCCTCACCCTTTCAGACAAACATCTGTTATACTGCAGAAGAACAACTATCTCCCAAACCGCTGAGTGTGCCCGCAGCCAAAGTAAACAAAACAAACCCAGAGGATCCAGCACAGTCAGCCTTTATATCCAGCCAGGATAACATTTCACATGTTTTGATTAAAATTAGCTAATTTGTAATTCTAGAACCTATGAAACTCAAAAGCTGCAATCCATATAGATCGCACCAGGCGATGCTCTAAGGGGCCAATGCCCTATACTACAGACCTCCGCGGTCCTCAGGACTACGTGGGATCACAATGAGCAACGACTCTCGCTCTCCGGTGCCTGCCCAGAGCCCTCTCCCAAAACAGGATGTGCCACATATCTCGCAAAGAATAATACCGCTCCTCGGGACGTGAAACTACTACGGTTTGTTTCCGACGGGATGCACCGACGGGCGATTTTGTTCGCTCCCCTCATGCTACTCTTGCCCACATTTCCAGCCGCTGCGGACGCAGAGCTGCGGACGCGCTCCTTGCGAACGCCTGCCTTCGGCAGCGAAGGGCACCCAGCCGAAATTAGCGGTGTGCAGAAGAGGGGAGAGGGGAGGGGACTGTGCGTTCCCGTTCGATTTGACACGGGGAGATGGACGCTCCAGAAAGCAAAGACATTTTCACTAGGCATCGTGCGTATCTACCAACTCGGCTGTGTAGTATGCGTCCTATGCGGACGCCTGACGTTTTCCAGGCAGTCCTCCACACACAGCCAGCCTCTTAACCAATGACAGATTCAAATGAAATGTCAGCAGCTTTATCTGATAACCCGACGACGCCGTTTTAGTCACTTTATCTCCGCGCTAAACAACAACAACAACAAGTTCGGCTGAAGTCTCGCCATACGTTGCCCCCAACTTCGGGGAATTAGAGAAGTCAAACAGACACGGAACAGCCGTGGAAAACAGGCGCAAAAAATAGGACGGGCCAAGCCCGGAGCCGCCACCTAACGAGAAAAGAAGTCCCGAAACCAGGTTTTCGTGCGGTCGCGGCCATCCCAACATCTGG